GGAGGACATCATCATTTTACAAATGAAAACACAGTCTATGTGAGGAGGAAAGTTGAGAAGGGAGGATATCATAATTTTTCCAATGAATACACTGTCTTTGGGTGGAGGAAGGATGTAAGAAGAGGACATCATTTTAACCATTACCACTGTCTATGTAAAGAGGAAAGATGAGAGGGGAGGACATCATCATTTTACCAACAAGAGGCCCAATGGGCCTGCATCGCTCACCTGGTATAAAACTCACACTTGTAACCTTAAAAGTGATCTAAAATAAAGCTACAGGCAAAATATCAGTATTTATGATTAAAATTCGTTTAAAAGGCCCTGTTATTTTTTTTTTAAACATTTCACCCCTGTGATTGAAAGTCGAACAAAGTCATTATGTTGAACACATTGTATAGCCTTTCATCTCTTCGTGCCAGGTGAGCTAATAAATATACTGTCTATGTGAGGAGGAAAGATGTGAGACGGGAAGGACATCATCATTTTGCCAATAAATACACTGTCTATGTAAAGAGGAAAGATGATTTGAGACGTCAATATTTTACCAATACATTTTTAGTGTGAGGAGGAAAGATGAGAGGGGGAAAACATCATCATTTTACCAATTAGTACACTTTCTATGTGAGTAGGAAAGATGAGAGAAGACTACATCATCATTTTAACCATTACCACTGTCTATGGGAGGATGAAAGATGAGAGGGGAGGACTTCATCATTTTACAAATAAAACACTGTCTATGTGAGGAGGAAACTTGAGAAGGCAGGATATCATCATTTTACCAATGAATACACTTTCTATGGGAGGACAAAGGATGCGAGAAGAGGACATCATGATTTTTAACCATTACCACTGTCTATGTAAAGAGGAAAGATGAGAGCGGAGGACATCATCTTTTTACTTTTTCCACTGTCTATGTGAGGAGGAAACATGAGAAGAGGATATCATCGTTTTACCAATAAATACATTTTCTACGTGATGAGGAAAGATGAGAGAGGATTGCATCATCATTTCAACCATTAACACTTGCTATGTAAAGAGGAAAGATGAGAGCGGAGGACATCATCTTTTTACTTTTACCACTGTCTATGTGAGGAGGAAACATGAGAAGAGGATATCATCGTTTTACCAATAAATACATTTTCTACGTGATGAGGAAAGATGAGAGAAATTGCATCATCATTTCAACCATTACCACAATATGAGAGGGGAGGACATCATCATTTTACCAATAATTACACTTTCTATGTAAGGAGGAAAGATGAGACGGAGAGGACATCATCATTTCAACCATTACCACTTTCTATGTAAAGAGGAAAGATGAGAGGGGAGTACATCATCATTTTACCAATGAATACACTTTCTATGTGAGGAGGAAAGTTGAGAAGGGAGGATATCATAATTTTTCCAATGAATACACTGTCTTTGGGAGGAGGAAGGATGTAAGAAGAGGACATCATTTTAACCATTACCACTGTCTATGTAAAGAGGAAAGATGAGAGGGGAGGACATCATCATTTTACCAACAAGAGGCCCAATGGGCCTGCATCGCTCACCTGGTATAAAACTCACACTTGTAACCTTAAAAGTGATCTAAAATAAAGCTACAGGAAAAATATCAGTATTTATGATTAAAATTCGTTTAAAAGACCCTGTTATTTTTTTTAAAAACATTTCACCCCTGTGATTGAAAGTCGAACAAAGTCATTATGGTGAACACATTGTAGAGCCTTTCATCTCTTCGTGCCAGGTGAGCTAATAAATATACTGTCTATGTGAGGAGGAAAGTTGAGACGGGAAGGACATCATCATTTTGCCAATAAATACACTGTCTATGTAAAGAGGAAAGATGATTTGAGACGTCAATATTTTACCAAAACATTTTCAGTGTGAGGAGGAAAGATGAGAGGGGGAAAACATCATCATTTTACCAATAAATACATTTTCTACGTGATGAGGAAAGATGAGAGAAGATTGCATCATCATTTTAACCATTACCACTGTCTATGGGAGGATGAAAGATGAGAGGGGGAGGACTTCATCATTTTACCAATGGATACACTGTCTATGTGAGGAGGAAACATGAGAAGAGGATATCATTGTTTTACCAATAAATACAGTTTCTACGTGATGAGGAAAGAGGTGAGAAGATTGCAGCATCATTTCAACCATTACCAATGTCTATGTGAGGAGAAAAGATCAGAGAGGAGGACTTCATCATTTTACAAATAAAACACTGTCTATGTGAGGAGGAAAGTTGAGACGGGAAGGACATCATCATTTTGCCAATAAATACACTGTCTATGTAAAGAGGAAAGATGATTTGAGACGTCAATATTTTACCAAAACATTTTCAGTGTGAGGATGAAAGATGAGAGGGGGAGTACTTCATCATTTTACCAGTGGATACACTGTCTATGCGAGGAGGAAAGATGAGAGGGGGAAAACAACATCATTTTACCAATAAATACATTTACTACGTGATGAGGAAAGACGAGAGAAGATTGCATCATCACTTCAACCATTACCACGGTCTAAGTGAGGAGAAAAGATCAGAGGTGAGGACTTCATCATTTTACAAATAAAACACTGTCTATGTGAGGAGGAAACATGAGAAGAGGATATCATCGTTTTACCAATAAATTCATTTTCTACGTGATGACTCTTCGTGCCAGGTGAGCTAATAAATATACTGTCTATGTGAGGAGGAAACATGAGAAGAGGATATCATCGTTTTACCAATAAATACGTTTTCTACGTGATGAGGAAAGATTAGAGAAGATTTCATCCTCATTTCAACCATTACCACGGTCTAAGTGAGGAGAAAAGATCAGAGGGGGGGACTTCATCATTTTACCAATAAATACATTTTCCACGTGATGAGGAAAGATGAAAGAAGATTGCATCATCACTTCAACCATTACCACGGTCTAAGTGAGGAGAAAAGATCAGAGGGGAGGACTGCATCATTTTACCAATGGATATACTGTCTATGTGAGGAGGAAAGTTGAGACGGGAAGGACATCATCATTTTGCCAATAAATACACTGTCTATGTAAAGAGGAAAGATGATTTGGGACGTCAATATTTTACCAAAACATTTTCAGTGTGAGGAGGAAGAGGAAGGATGTAAGAAGAGGACATCATTTTAACCATTACCACTGTCTGTGTGAGGAGGAAAGATGAGAAGGGAGGACATCATAATATTTACTATTACCACTGTCAATGTGAAGAGGAAAGATGAGAGGGGGAGTACTTCATCATTTTACCAGTGGATACACTGTCTATGTGAGGAGGAAAGTTGAGACGGGAAGGACATCATCATTTTGCCAATAAATACACTGTCTATGTAAAGAGGAAAGATGATTTGAGACGTCAATATTTTACCAAAACATTTTCAGTGTGAGGATGAAAGATGAGAGGGGGGGGACTTCATCATTTTACCAGTGGATACACTGTCTATGTGAGGAGGAAAGATGAGAGGGGAGGACATCATAATATTTACCATTACCACTGTCAATGTGAAGAGGAAAGATGAGAGGGGGTTAATTATCCTTTTATCAATAAATACATTGTCTTTGTGAGGAGGAAATATGAGAGGGCATGACAGCATCATTTTACCAATACACTGTACATTTATGTGAAAAGCAGAGCTGAGTTGATGAAAGGATTTGGAAGGGGTCAAAGATAAGTTTAGTTGTGGAAGGAATCTTGAGTTTAGAGGGGTCGAAGTCTTGAGTTTGGAGGGATAGAGAAGAGGAGTGTTTATCAATCTCACAGTTTACTTGAGGGGAGAAGTCTTGATTTGGGAGGGATTGAGGACCAGAATGTTTATCAATCTCACTGTTTACTTGAGAAGTCTTGAGTAAGAAGGGATTGAGGACAGGAATGTTTATCAATCTCACTGTTAACTTGTGGGGAAAAGTCTTGAGTTGGGAGGGATTGAGGACAGGAATGTTTATCAATCTCACTGTTTATTTGAGGGGAGAATTCTTGAGTAAGAAGGGATTGAGAACAGGAATGTTTATCAATCTCACAGTTTACTTGAGGGGAGAAGTCTTGAGTTGGGAGGGATTGAGGACAGGAATGTTTATCAATCTTACTGTTTACTTGAGGGGAGAAATCTTGAGTTGGGAGGGATTGAGGACAGGAATGTTTATCAATCTCACTGTTTACTTGATAAGAAGTCTTGAGTTTGGAGGGATTGAGGACAGGAATGTTCATCAATCTCACTGTTTGCTTGAGGAGAAGTCTTGTGTTGGGAGGGATTGAGGGCAGGAATGTTTATCAATCTCACTGTTTTCTTGATAAGAAGTCTTGAGTTTGGAGGTATTGAGGACAGGAATGTTTATCTATCTCACTGTTTACTTGTGTGGAGAAGTGTTGAGTTGGGAGGGATCGAGGACAGGAATGTTTATCATTCTCACTGTTTGCTTGTGGGGAGATGTGTTGAGTTGAGAGGGATTGAGGACAGGAATGATCATCAATCTCACTGTTTGCTTGAGGAGAAGTCTTGTATTGGGAGGGATTGAGGACAGGGATGTTTATCAATCTCACTGTTTGCTTGAGGAGAAGTCTTGTGTTGGGAGGGATTGAGGACAGGGATGTTTATCAATCTCACTGTTTTCTTGATAAGAAGTCTTGAGTTTGGAGGTATTGAGGACAGGAATGTTTATCTATCTCACTGTTTACTTGTGGAGAGAAGTGTTGAGTTGAGAGGGATTGAGGACAGGAATGATCATCAATCTCACTGTTTGCTTGAGGAGAAGTCTTGTGTTGGGAGGGATTGAGGGCAGGAATGTTTATCAATCTCTTTCTTTATTTGTGGGGAGAAGTGTTGAGCTGGGAGGGATTGAGGACAGGAATGATCATCAATCTCACTGTTTACTTGTGGGGAGAAGTGTTGAGTTGGGAGGTGTCGAGGATAGGAATGTTTACATTCGATGTATTTTTGTAAATTGTGTATGTTGGGAGGATTGCTGGCGGGGAGGAACGTTTACCAATACCGCTGTCTATGCGAGTAGCTGAGATTTGCGGAGGTGCCTTCTGGTTATAGTCCCTCTGAGGGATACGAGGACTGGCAGGTGCTCGACTGCTGATGATGGTCTGTATCCTGTAAATTAACATCAAAACTGAGTTATTTCTCTTTGTTATGACATAGGAATTTAACTTCAAACGGGAAGTTTTTCTTGATTCCTTTGAAAGTCAAATGAGCTAATACTAAATATTTTCACCTCCAAGCCATAGACTCAACTTATAGAATGTGTAACAATTACATAACAAGAGGCCCAATGGGCCTTAATCGCTCACATGGTATTAATCTCACACTTGTAATCTTAAAAGTGGACTAAAATACAACTACAGGCATCATATCAGTGTTTGATTCATCAGAACCTATTAAAAGATTTAAACATATAACGCCCGTGACCTTAAATGTAGAACAAGGACATTTGGTTGAACAGAGTTTATAGTCTTCCAACCCAGCATGCTTCTACAAAATATCATTACCCTGGACTTTTTTGGTTATACAGAACAAATTATTTAAAGATTTAAACATATTTGACCCCTGTGACCTGGAATATAGGTCAACATCATTTATTTGAACAAACTTGGTAGCCCTTCATCCCAGCATGTTACTGGCAAAATATCATCACCCCAGGCCTCTCGGTTATTCAGAAGAAGTTGTTTAAAAGTTTTAAGCATATTTGACCCCTGTGACCTTGAATATAAGTCAAGGTCATTTATTTGAACAAACTTGGTAGCCCTTCATTCCAGCATGTTACTGGCCAAATTTAAGCACCCTATGCTTCTTGGTTATTCAGAAGAAGTCGTTTAACGGTTTTAAACATATTTGACCCTTGTGACCTGGAATATAAGTCAAGGTCATTTATTTGAACGAACTTGGTAACCCTTCATCCCAGCATGTTACTGGCCAAATATCATCACCCTAGGCCTCTTGGTTATTCAGAAGAAGTTGTTTGAAGATTTTAACAAATTTGACCCCTGTGACCTTGAAAATAGATAAAGGTAATTTATTTGTACAAACTTTGTAGCCCTTCATCCCAGCATGCCTCTGGCCAAATATCGTCACCGTAGGCCTTTTGGTTACTGAGAAGATGTTGTTTAAAGTAACAAGAGGCCCATGGGCCTTAACGGTCACCTGATATATTTATACAGAGAGATGATTTTTGTTTTTAACATGAAAAGAAATATTATTCAAAGCGACAAAAAACAATAAAACCACCTTATTCAATACCTAGCATGCAGATTTAATACTGAAAAGTATTTGAAACTAGCACATCTGATTCTAAACAAGGAATATGATTTTATTTTAACACACAGATCCATTGGGCCCCACCCTACAGCCCTTGGGAGTAGGGATGGCTCAAAATTTTCAAAGTATCAAACTGTCACCTTAAGGTTATAATTCCAATCAAGTTATCAACATGTAATATTCAAAGTATCATTTGCTATTATAAACCATAACAAATTTCAGTCAATTCAACCCTTTTTGGCCCAACCCATCAGCACCGAGGGGGTCAGTCAGGGCTTATATGTGCATACCATCAAACTGCTATCCAATACTGATAATGCTAACCCAAAATGGCAATTACACAAATATTAGTCCAAAATGTGATTTCCCTATATAAACGATAGCAAAGTTTACCCCCTACCCAGGGGAAAACGTGAGACCCTAGGGTCATGAAATTCACAATTTTGGTAAATGGTAAAGCACCTTAAGACCCTTCCATCTATGAAGAGTATTTGATTCTACTATATCTGAGTCTTAAGAAGAAGATTTTTGAAATTTCAGTCCATTCAACCCTTTTTCGGCCCCACCCATCAGCCCCTGGGGGTCAGTCAGGGCTGATATGTGCATACTATCAAACTGCTATCCAATACTGATAATGCAAACCTAAATTGAATTACTTCCAATGGCAATTAAACAAATGTTGGTTCAAAATGTGATTTCCCTATATAAATTATAGTAAAGTTTACACCCTCCCCATGAGGAAATGTGAGTCCCCAGGGTCAAGAAATTCACAATTTGTGTAAAGCATCTTATGACCCTTACATCTATGAAGAGTATTTGATTCTACCATATCTGGATCTTGAGAAGAAGATTTTTGAAATTTTAGTCAATTTTCCCCTTTTTGGCCCCGCCCCTCGGGCCCCTGGGGGCTTGGGACCATATAATTCACAATTTTAGTTGACCTTTGGTCATGGAAGGTTTCTGCAAAATTTCAATGAAATTGGTTCAGGGGTTTTGGAGAAGAAGTCGGAAATGTAAATTGTTTACGGTTGCACAACGGCGATCGCAATAGGTCACTTGAGACTATGTCTCAGGTAACCTAAAAAGTTGACGCCAGACAGACGCCGGACGGACGACTGACGCCGCACCATGCCATAAGCTCACTTGGCCCTTCGAAACTATAATTTAAAGTGTTTAATTCTTGTTGTAAACATAATTAATCATTACACATTTATAGAAATGTATTGTACTTTATGTCAATTTAAAATCTAATGTTCTTTAAACGTATGACTAAATATTTCTTATTAGTGCTTAACATTTTAATTTAAAATGTCCCTGAATCGCTCACCTGGTATTAATCTCAAACTTGTAACCTTAAAAGTGGGCGAAGGTCAAATATATTGAAATAGACTTCATTAAGCTACAGGCTATATATTATCACTTATCACAATGACTCCCGGTTGATTAAAAGAAACCATTAACATTTTTAACATATTGACACTTGTGACCTTGAAAGTTTCACAAAGGTCATTCAGTTAAAGAAACTTTACAGCCATCCATCCAATCATGCAACTGGCCAAATGAAAGCAATCTCAGCCTTTTGGTAATGAAAAAGATGTCATATAAAAGTTTATACACATGAAACCCGATTGAACTTGAAAGTAGATCAAGTTATTCCTTTGAACAAACTTTTTAGCCCTTCATTCTATCATGCTATTGGCAATAAATCATCACTCTAGGCCTTTTGGTTATTGAGAAAAGGCTGTTTTCTAACACATTTGACATCTGTGACCTTGAAAGTGGGTCAAGGTCATTCATTTGAACAAACGAACAAGCTCTTCATCCCAGATATGACTGGCCATATATCATCACCTTGAGTCTTCTGGATAGGTGAGCTAAAACAAGAGGCCCAGAGGGCCTGTATCGCTCACCTGAATATGTTTAAAATAATTGGTATGAAGTAAAGATATAGCACTCCATGGTAGGTGCTGTCATATGAAATTTCAGAAAGATCCATCCAGTCCTTGAAATATAACGAGCCCCACCCCTATGCCCCTAGGGGGTCATACCCTACATTTATACAAATTTGAGTCCCCTTGGCCCAAGGATGCTCTAGACTAAATAAAGATAAAAACCCTTAATCCTGATGGTCAAAGAAGGATTTTAAAGGTTTTACCTCTATTTCTCCTGGGCCCCCCCCATCTGCCCCCTGGAAGACCACACTCACTGCTTATACAAAAATGAGTCCCCTTGGCCCAAGGATGCTTCATACCAAATTTCGACAAAACCCTGTCATTCCTTGAATTTTGAAGCTTTACCTCTATTTCCCTTATTAAGCCCCGCCTCTCAGGTCCCAGGAATGCCACACCCACTGTTTATACAAAATTGGTTTCCCTTTACCCAAAGATTTTCCACACCAAATATGGAATAAATCCTTTCATTCCTACAGAAGAAGAAGGATTTTAATGAATAATTTTCTATGTTTCCCCTATTGGGCCCTGCCCCTCAGGCCCCTTGGGGTCCAGACCCACAGTTTATACAAAATTGGATCCCCTTCACCCAACGATGCTTCAGACCAAATATGGAACATATCCTTTCATTCCTACAGAAGAAGGATTTCAAAGAATTTGCTATATTTCCCCTATTGGACCCGCCCCTCAGTCCCCAAGGGGCCAGACCTATCGTTTATAAAAAATTGGTTTCCCTTTACCCAAGGTTGCTCCACAACAAATATGGACCAAATCCTTTCATTCCTACAGGAGAAGAAGGGTTTTAAAGAATAATTTGCCATGTTTCCCATATTGGAACCCTGCCCCTCAGGCCCCTGAGGGTCCAGACCCACGGTTTATACAAAATTGGTTCCCCTTCACTCAAGGATACTTCAGACCAAATATGGAAAAAAAACTTTCATTCCAACAGAAGAAGGATTTTAAAGAATTTGCCATATTTCCCCTATTGGGCCCTGCCCCTCAGCCCCCAAGGGGGCCAGATCCATCGTTTATACAAAATTGGTTTCCCTTTAACCAAGAACGTTCCACACCAAATATGGAACAAATCCTCAGTGGTTCATGACTAGTAGTGAGGTCGACGGACGACGGACGATGGACGCAAGACGACGGACGCTGCGGTATGGCATAAGCTCATAAGCTAAAAACAGCATGATGTATAAAAATGGAAAATAATCACCTATGTTAGTTTTGCTTTACCATCTCTGCAGGGTGGCTACTGTGCTTTAAAAACACACTGATAATTGTCAATGTGCTAAGCATTTGTCTTATGTAGTTTTTACCAGAGATCATGGCAACCGCAATGTCCGTCTATCAGAGAGAAGTATTAGGCAAAAAGAAAAAGGGCCATTTGGTCGTAAAGCGGATATCAGATTTCTTTTCAGTATAAAACGGTAAAACTGGTGTCAGCAATGTCAATGAAATTCATGAAGATGAATACTGTCACTGAAGGTCTCACTTAACTGTTACAGACTGAGACACTAAACTAAATACATGTAGCTGGAATCAGTAAGCGCTTTTTTCTGAATTGCAGTACTAAAACAAATTTCAGTAATTGGCAAAAGACAAACAAAAGGCTTCATATGTAAAATTTGTGACTTCGTTCATAGTAACAAACAGATCATCCCCCAACAATCCCTTGGTCTCCTGTTCAGATTAAAGGTTACCTTAAAGATGTTATTTAAAGATTATTTAACATTTGACCTATGTGACCTTCAAAGTGGGTCAATATCATTACCCTGGGCCTATTGGTTATAGAGAAGAAGTTTGAAAACTTTAAAGACATTTGACCCCTGTTACGTATATATCCTTAAACAACTTTGTTGACCTTCATCCCAGCATATTACTATTACT